GGGAGGCGGTTAGCTCAATGGATAGAGTAGACTTTGAAGATCAGCTTCAAAGTCTACTCCGCTGAATTCACATTTAGTTTTAAATTCTTTGGTGTATTTCAGAAGAGCCTCGACTGACTCGGGAGTCCAAGAAAACTTCCTTGACTTCTTCTCCGTGCTGATAGAAGCTGAAGTTGTACCTGCTTTCCTCTTTAATTGCCGTGAAAGTATTTTGGTAACAGTGATTATTTCAGCTTCCTGCACGGGTACGAATCTGTTCTCTGCCTGAGACTCATCTATTACATTGATCGCTTCAGACTGACTGTCATTTTGTTCAGCAGATAACACTGGCAAATGGTAACGACGAAAGTACTGACCTTGGCCTCCATGTTTATGGATGTTTTCGCGGTTAATTTCTCTTCGGCTAGCCGGGATAGCCCGGTACGAACCGTTTACATGGTAAAAAGCTATCCCGCCTAACCGGGTGCCCCAGGCAAGTAGACAGGATGCCCCGGGTACGCGGGCTACCCAGTCTAGCATGTAAACGCTTCAAGCGTTTTCCAAAGAAACGTATGAGGAGTTAGCGCGCTCAGGGTAGCTAGGTTAGCCGGGTAGCTCGGTTAGCCGGGGCACCCTCCTTCCATGTAAACAGGCCCTATGTCTCTAAAACGTTTGAGGTAAGGCTTCTCTTCAGGCAACGTTAGAAGTCCTTTAGTGTCAGTTTCAACTTAGGAATACAGTCCAATGAGTTCCAGAGTTTGACTCTCCTGAAGTAGAAAGTTCTTTGTCCGGCGGGGGTTTTATACAAAGGCATTTTTAAGCTATAAGTCGAGGTATTTCTAGATGATGACACTGGATTGGCTTTAATGTTTCATTTTCACGCACCAAATACAAAATAAAGGCTTTATGTCAAGAATTTGGACTGTTTATAGCATGAATTATGCTCAAAACTTCATTTTGCTTGGCCTTAGAGGGGCATGGAGAAATTGTGCCAAAAACCTAACAAACCTTAATAAGCCAAATTTTTCTCATCTGATTTTGATAAATGGGTCACTAAAGTACATACTAGATTTGGTATAAAAGTTATGCAAGAAGGCAGGTGAGTGTTATTGTTTTTGAAAAATTGCAATTTTGGGTGGTGATTTTGGCCTTGAGAACAAAATTATACTTATGAAGTAAAAGCTCCACTATAGTAGAGTCCATGGTCAAATTCGTTTGGCAGCACAATTTACCAATGGAGTTTTATAGCACTTTCAAAATGTCACCGAGAAGGAGGAGTTTTTGGTGCTCCACAGGCCACAAATGGGACCCCCCTGAAACTCCAGAAAAAACAGTCAGAGCAGTGAGTTAAAGCGGCTTTTGAAACATCTTATTGCACTCAACTTTTGTGCC